GGAAACGTAGGCAGCTTCCTGGAGAGACTCGGCCTGGCGCCTCACGGCACAGGTGCAAGTGCCGTCATTCAGACACAGGCCACGCCCATGCACGGCAGTGAGATGCTTTGACCTCAGGGGCCTCTGGTCATGGGTCACTTAGGCTGTTCTTGTTCCCTGCCATTTCCCTTTGGGTGACAGCTGCGTCCACTGTGGAGCGACCCCTCCCTCAGCCTTTCTGCTGGTCCCGGGTGCAGGGTGTTGTGGGCAGGCTGTTCAGACAGAGTGACGACAGGCATGTTTATCCGCTGGTGCCACAGGGGCCCGAGGGACACCGGGCTCAGGATAGACTTGGGCTTCCCGTGCCTGCCATAGCCTCCAGCTTCCAGCATCCACGCGCCCTCAGGCGCCTCTCCATCTGCCATTTCCATGTCGGCAGGGAAGGGATGGGTGTTCCTGTTGTCTCCTTGCTCTCCCCGGAGCCCTGCACCCCTGCACTCCAGGTCCCGCTGCCGCCAGGAGGGGCACGGGCATTCCTGTGGAGGGTGCCCCGGAGCTGGCGATGCCTCTGCCATCTAGCGTGGGGTGTGAGGGGTGGCTGGTGGCCTGAGCAAGCACTGCCGGACGGCTTGGGAATCCGTGTCATCCCCATGTTGGAGTGTGGCCAACATGATGACCGGGACCGCCACGGATGGGTGGTGGGTCCTCCCTCTGCCCAGGCCGGCCGGCCTCTGCGGAGCCGGCTTCCTTTCCCCAAAAGAGGCCACCTGCGGGGCCCAGGCTCCAGAAGGGACCATTTGCTCCCAGATGGTGGCTATGAGCCAGGGACTCAGCGGCCAGGCACAAGTGGGGACATGTGGCCCGCTTGGTGTGTCCCATGCAGCACCTCGTCCCGCAGGAGCAGCTGGGGCCGGTGGCCGGGCTAAGTGGGCCGTGGCTCCAGGCTGTCTGCCCCCCGCACCTGCCGTGGTGAGCGAGTAGCTTTATCAGCAGAGTCCTGGTACTGCGGGACTGTGGCGTAATTACACGACTCAAAGGGGATTTGTGGGAGCTATAAAATATCAAAGCGACCCTGTGCAGGCCTGGGCAGAGGCTGAGGCCACAGCGTGGGGGACGTTCCAGACGCCTCTGAGCTGTTCACTTTAAGATACTGAATTTTTTGAACATTAGAACACATGGAAAAAAAAAAAAAGATACTGAATTTTACCCTCTGTGAATTTCACCCCACTGCTAACAACTTTTTAAAAAATCTGCGCTGTGCTGAGCTGGGTGTTGAGTCCTGATCGCAGGCCTCTACACAGCTGCCGTGTGGCGTCCCCCAGTGCTGCCATCTTTCTCCACCTCGTCCCCGTAACCCCGGCAGTCACCGTCCTGACGGTTGCATCTAGTGTTTTTCTGTTCTTGACAAATTCATCACCAGAACCCTGGGGAGGACGGACGCTCGGGTGGCTCCCGGGGAGCCAGATTCTGCCACACAGCCCTAGCAGTGGCTGGCACACGGCTGGGGAACTGCTTAGCACCTCGAAGCTCTTAAGAAACAGGTGCTTAGGCCTTAGAGCCGGCGCCCCTGCTTTCCGGCCGTGCGTGTAGTTCTGCGGGGCCCGAGACTCAGGCAGGGTTGTGTAGGCATTCCCAGGTTCCCCCGCATCTCTGCTCCTGTCACTGTGGGCCGATCTCACGCTGGGGCCTGTGCACTGCCGTCCCCTCTGCCCAGAAGGCTCCTCCTCCAGCAGCGGTTGCCATGGCTCCTCCAAGCTCCCCCTCAGGTCTCTGTCCCCAGGGTCACCTCCCAGCACACACAGGCCTTGCCTTCCTTCCCTGTTCCTCATCCTCGTAACGCAGACTGCATCTGACAGGCAGCTGTGTTGCCATGGCCGCCTCCCGCGAGGACACGTGGTGTGACTCGGGCTATGGTTCCGGATGCTTCCGTGGTATGAGAACAGCACTTCCCACTCCGGCTCACCAGGATTTGTCAGATGGATGATGCGGTTTCCCCCAAGCCCCTGTGAAAACCACTCCGGGATGCAGGGTTTGCAGCCCTCTGTGAGCGCGAGCTCGAGGCCGGGGTGGTCTGCACCCCAAGACGCTCGGCGCAGGGGCACACCGTGCCCGAACTGAGGGCTTAGCGCCCCTCATGGGACATGGTGGGCTTTGTGGTTTTGACTGGTTTTGACGCCGCCTCATCTAACACAGGCTGATGCAGCATCTCCCGTGTTCTGAGAGCCCCCAGCCAGACGGGCCACAGTGCCACCGCAGCGGTAGCCATGCCCTGGTGGCAAATGCAGGGCACAAGCGTGGTATTTGCCGTTCGCCTGTCACAGGGTGTTTTTACTCGGCGGGAGCCTGATGCCTGGTTTGTCCCGACCACGGGTCCCTCACTCGGAAAATGGTTTACACGGGTGGAGCCCTCCTGGCCCATGGCTGACACGTGTCCAGATGATGCCCATCGCCCTGGCACTGGCAGCCTGGCCGGGCAGCCCCTGCCGCCTCTGCCGGAAGGTGCAGGTTGAGCACGCCACCTCGACAGCAAGTTCAGACTTACTACAGATCCTGGGCAGGGAGGGCGCTGTGGTTGGGAGGGCTGCCTCTGTCCCTCCCTCACGAGAGGCAGGAATTTAGATTCGCCAGGGAGAGCGCGTGGCAGCTAGCAGTATGTGAAGATATGGGAGTAACACACGGGTCATTTTAAGTTAGTGGGCAATGCCTGAGTGGCCCGTGTAAAGGAAGTGGTGGCAGAAGAGGCAGCCCCAGTCCTTATCTCTGCCTCGGGCTTGAGCCACCTGGGTGTGGCATCCACTGCTAATGCCAGCAGTGGGCTTTGGTGTGCTGCCCCCTCAACCTGGGGGATTCTTTCCCCGGGGGACACAGAATGACATCTGGGACATGTGTGGTTGTCACGACATCGGGGGTGCTCCCGGCATGGGATGGGTGGAGGCCAGGGACACCACTCAACACCCTGCAGGGCCCAGGACGGCCCCTCCTCAGAGAATGAGTGTCAGCAGTTGTGATGTTGAGAAACTGGCTGTCCCTATGGTGCTTGGGAGGGGCACAGTCAGTTCCTTGGGGGCAGGCGGAAAATGTTGAACCCCAAGATTCCTACATTTACAGGCCAAGCGTGGTGGCTCACGCCTATAATCCTAGCACTCTGGGAGGCTGAGGCAGCGGATTGCTCAAGGTCAGAAGTTCGAAACCAGACTGAGCAAGAGCGAGATCCTGTCTTTACTAAAAATAGAAAGACATTAATTGGCCAACTAAAACATATATATATATATATAAAAAATTAGCCGGGCATGGTAGCACATGCCTGTAGTCCCAGCTACTCGGGAGGCTGAGGCAGGAGGATCGCTTGAGCCCAGGAGTTTGAGGTTGCTGTGAGCCAGGCTGACAGCACAGCACTCTAGCCAAGGCAACAGATTGAGACTCTGTCTAAAAAAAAAAGAATTACATTTAGAAATGTTCAAGAGCCTAAAGTCCACACTGTTAACATTTGTGTATTAAAGTTATCTGGATGTTTGCTGTCTCAAATATTTAATATTGGTAATAATTCAGTTTAATGGAATACCAAGTGAGCCGCTGTAAATAGCTTAAGTTTCCAAACAAGACCAACTTCATAAAGGCCATGGTTTTCATTTAACTTTAATGGAGTGTACGTTAATTTTTTTAAAAGCCCAGGTCCCCCCCAAGTGATCGCTCCTGTGTCCAAAGTTGGCCGGGAAGGACGTGGACGCCCAGGCCTCGGGGTTGGTGCTGGGCACTTGGGTGTGTGGTCTGCGGGGCCCCCGGGGTGCAGAGCCGATGTGGGGGCACATGGTCCTGGCAGGTGGCTCTGCTGTTCTCTGAGATCGGGTACATCATGGCCCTCGTAACCCTGAGTGCCCTGGGCTCAGAGGCCCCATGACCTTGTCCTTGGGCTTCCTGGTGCCGTGGCCAGCTTGCCAGGCCTGCCTGAGGCACTCCCTGGGGCCAAGTGGCCCTCGTGTGCCCCCACCCCCACCCAGCTAACCTGGCCTCTCTCTTTCAGCGCCAAGAAGAGGGAGGGCGAGCTCACGGTGGCCCAGGGCCGCGTAAAGGACCTGGAGTCCCTGTTCCACCGGAGCGAGGTGGAGCTGGCTGCCGCCCTCAGTGACAAGCACAGCCTGGAGAGCGACGTGGCCGAGCTGCGGGCCCAGCTGGCCAAGGTAGGCCCCCAGCCTGGGAGGAGGCCACAGGACACCCCAGCGGAGCACGGGAGGCAGGCAGACCGTCACCTCTGTTTGCTGTCCTGTGTCTCTCAGGCAGAGGATGGTCACGCGGTGGCCAAAAAGCAGCTGGAGAAGGAGACGCTGATGCGCGTGGACCTGGAGAACCGCTGCCAGAGCCTGCAGGAGGAGCTCGACTTCCGGAAGAACGTGTTTGAGGAGGTGAGTCGGCCCCTCTGTCAGTCTGGCTTGGTGTGTCAGTGTCCTGGGGCTGCCGGAGCAAAGTGCCACATGCCAGGCAGCTTAAAAAAGCAGGATCTGATCTGGCTCTGGGGACGGAAGTCTGAAGTTGGGGTCTCGGGGTTGCACGCCTGCTGGAGGGGTGGGGTGGGGCATCCTTCCTGCCTGCCCAGCTTTGGGGGCTCCAGGCATCCGAGGCTTGTGGCTGCATCGCTCCCATCTCTGCCTCAGTCTCCACTTGGCCCCATCCTCCTGTGTCCATCATCTGTGTGTCTTTTATAGGGATCCTTGTCCTTGGGTTCAGGGCCCACCCAGATAGTCCGGAATGATCTAATTACATCTGCAAAGACTCTATTTCCAAATAAGGTGACAGTCACAGGTTCCATGGGTCAGGACGTGGACACATGTTTTAGGGGTCACCATTCGGCCCACAGGCCTCCGTGTCAGAGGCAGGGGCGAGGCCCAGCTGCTGCTTCTCTCACCCTCCAACCTCATCTCTGGGTCTGTGGCCCCCTGGGTGGTGGTGTGGGAGCCCCTGCCCCTGAGACCCTCTGGCCCCGTGTGTCACAGAGCCCATTGTGCTGTCATGGCCAGAGCGGAATGTCCGGGGCCAGGCCCCTCCTGCGCACACTGCCCAGGAAGAGCTGCTGGCAGGAGGATGTCCTTGCAGCTCAGGAGCGGGGCCCAGCTGCGGCCAGGCCCAGTGAGCGTGTGGGCCGCCGCAGGAGGCGGGCAGAAGGCCGCCAGGGGTGTTGCGGGCGAGCCCATGAGCGGGCTTGAGCCGGAGAGGGAACCTGGGGGCACCCCTGCAATGGGTCCCTTAAGGAGACCCGCGAGTGAGCCAGTGAAGACACCCTGGAGGGAGCCTGCCCGCAGACCCCTGAGCGCACCTGCTAGGGGACTCGGACCCACGGGGGAACCAGTGAGGGGACCCGGACCTACGGGAGAACCAGTGAGGGGACCCGGACCCACGGGGGAACCAGTGAGGGGACCCGGACCCGAGCCTGCGCGGGGACCTGGGGAGAGACTGGTGAAGGAGCCGGAGTCCACGGGGGAGCCTGTGGAGGCGCCCAAGGGGGGACCACTGAAGACACCCACGAGGAGAGCCACGAGGAGAGCGCGGAAGACGCTCCTGATGGAGCTGGTGCAGGGCCCGCAGAGGAAGCCCGTGAAGACAGCGCCCTTGAAGAAGCCCATGGGGGGGCCTGGGAAGAGGTCTGCGAGGGGAGCAGGGAGGAGGCCCCTGCAGCGACCGAAGAAGAAACCTGTGAAAAAGGGGTCCCTGAAGCCCCCCCTGAGGAAGGGGCCCTCGAGGGGCACGGGGCAGAGGACGAGGCCTGCGTGGGGTGCGGTGAGCGGCGTGTCCTCAAGGGTGGCAGGGAGGGGCAAAGCTGCCTGCGGGCTCCGGGCTGGGCCACCAGCCTGCCATTGTTTGGAAAGGTGGCCGCAGCCCTCCAGCATTTTAGTTCCTATGACCCAGTCACACAGCGACAAGTGACTGATATCCGTGCTGGAGTTTGGTGCAGTAGGAGCGGACGCTCCCTTCCCGTGAAGCGTGAGCTCCGTGTCAGGCCACCATGTCTTTTTTTTTTTTTTTTTTTTTTGAGACAGTCTCACTTTGTTGCTAGAGTGAGTGCCGTTGCGTCAGCCTAGCTCACAGCAACCTCAAACTCCTGGGCTCAAGCAATCCTCCTGCCTCAGCCTCCCGAGTAGCTGGGACTACAGGCATGCGCCACCATGCCCGCGGCTAATTTTCTATATATATATATCATATAAATGTTATTTAGTTGGTCAACTAATTTGTTTCTATTTTTAGTAGAGACGGGGTCTTGCTCAGGCTGGTTTTGAACTCCTGACCTTGAGCAATCTGCCCTCCTCGGCCTCCCAGAGTGCTAGGATTACAGGCATGAGCCACCGCGCCCGGCCAGGCCACCATGTCTTGTGCGCCTCGTGGCTGGGGCAGGGCTGGGCACCGTCACTAATTTTCTTAAATAACGGCATTTATGAGCTTTAATTCCCACATCATAAAGTTCATTCTTTTATTTTTTTTATTTTTTTTGAGGCAGAGTCTCACTTTGTTGCCCAGGCTAGAGTGAGTGCCATGGTGGCAGCCTAGTTCACAGTAACCTCAAACTCCTGGGCTTAAGCAATCCTTCTGCCTCAGCCTCCCGAGTAGCTGGGACTACAGGCATGCACCACCATGCCTGGCTGATTTTTTCTATATATATTTGTTGGCCAATTAATTTATTTGTATTTATAGTAGAGACAGGGTCTCGCTCTTTCTCAGGCTGGTTTCGAACTCCTGACCTCGAGTAATCCTGCCTCGGCCTCCCAGAGTGCTAGGATTACAGGCATGAGCCACCGCGCCCGGCTAAGTTCACTCTTTTAAAGTTACAATTCAGTGTTTTTCAGATCTCCACAGGGTTGTACACTGAATTTTACACTTTATTCCAGAACATTCCATCACCCCCAGAGCAAACCCTGTCCTCAGCAACAGTCATCCCTCAATCCCTCCCCAGCCTCTGGCACTCACGAATCCATGTCCCGTCTCTGTGGATCTGCCTGTTTGGACATTTCATATAAGCGGAGTCTCACACTGTGTGTCTTTCTGTGTCTGGCGTCTCTCACTGAGCACGATGTCCTCAAGGTCCCTCCACGCTGTGGCCTGCGTCGGAGCCTCGTCCCTTGTCATGGCCGAGTGATGTTCGCGAGTGTGGAGGGACCGTGTTGGGTTTGTTCACTGTGGACGGGCATTTGGGCTGCGTCAGTCTGTGGCAGTCACAGCTGTGCCGCCGTGAGCGTGCGGCGGCAGGACTTGTGAATGGGGAACCGGGTGGCTGCCTGGAGGTCCTCAGTTGGGTCATTGTGAAGCCCTCCCTTGGGCCTTGTGGTGGGGGTGATCTTGCGGCCCGCCCAGGCAGCCAGGTCACCAGGCTCTGTCCCCAGGAGGTGCGGGAGACGCGGCGGCGGCACGAGCGGCGTCTGGTGGAGGTGGACAGCAGCCGGCAGCAGGAGTACGACTTCAAGATGGCGCAGGCGCTGGAGGAGCTGCGCAGCCAGCACGACGAGCAAGTGCGGCTGTACCGCCAGGAGCTGGAGCAGACCTACCAGGCCAAGGTCAGTGGGGCGGGCGCGGCGGCGAGGGGCGCCGGGGACCCCAGCCGGCGCCTGCCCCTCACCCGCCTGTCTCCCTGCAGCTGGACAACGCCAAGCTGAGCTCCGACCAGAACGACAAGGCAGCCAGCGCCGCCCGCGAGGAGCTGAAGGAGGCCCGCATGCGCGTCGAGGCCCTCAGCTACCAGCTCTCCAGCCTCCAGAAGCAGGTGACCGCCGGAGACCCCCCCCACCTGCCGTCACCTCTAGCGCGCGGGCGCAGGGCTCTCCTGCCTCTTGGCGGTTGATGCAGCCCGTGTGGCACCAGCGATGTCCCCTATCCTTCCTCCCCATGTGCTGCTGGGCCCCCCGGTCCCCCAGTCTTGGTCTCCCTTGAGGGGCCGCCTCCTGCAAGCCCCACATTGCGGGGTTGTCTCACCGGCCATCCACGCCCTTGGCAGCCTCACAAGAGGCTTGGGATCGGCTGCATGTCCATGACCCTGGCTGCCCTGACCTGGCCAATGACCCCATCCCCAGGCGAGTGCCGCCGAGGACCGCATCCGGGAGCTGGAGGAGGCCGTGGCCGGGGAGCGGGACAAGTTCCGGAAGATGCTGGATGCCAAGGAGCAGGAGATGACGGAGATGCGCGACGTGATGCAGCAGCAGCTGGCCGAGTACCAGGAGCTGCTGGACGTGAAGCTGGCCCTGGACATGGAGATCAGTGCCTACCGCAAGCTGCTGGAGGGCGAGGAGGAGAGGTGGGGCAGCGTGGGGCGGAGGGGCCGGGTGACAGCGCCTTTCTGACCTTGCTGGACCCAGTGCCATCGGGGCTCCCACCGCCAGCCACGCCCTCTCCTCCTCCTCCCCCAAGGCTGAAGCTGTCCCCCAGCCCGTCTTCGCGCATCACCATCTCGAGGGCCACCTCGAGCAGCAGTGGCAGCAGCGTGGCGCTGGCTGGACGTGCGGGCCGCAGCAAGCGGAAGCGGCTGGAGGCAGAGGAGTCCCCGGGCAGCAGCTCAAGCGGCCTGGGCACGGGCAGCAGCAGCAGCTTTCACCTGGCCCAGCAGGCCTCGGCCTTGGGCAGCGTCACCATCGAGGAGGTGGACCTGGAGGGCAAGTTCGTGCAGCTGAAGAACAACTCAGACAAGGTGCTGGGCTGCTGCGCCCGGGGCGGGGGAGGGGGAGCCCCTGCCAGCATCCCTGACCTGGCGGGCGTGTGACAAGCCTGTGGTGCCTTTTCCAGGATCAGTCTCTGGGGAACTGGAGGATCAAGAGGCAGATCTTGGAGGGGGACGAGATTGCCTACAAGTTCACGCCCAAGTATGTCCTGCGGGCCGGCCAGACAGTCACGGTAGGTGGCAGGGCAGGGGCGGGGTGAGGGTGGCTGCTGACAGGATGAGTTGGGTACGGCAGGGGCTGAGACTCAGGACATAGCTGGGTCTGTGCCATCTTGGCGGTCCAGTGCCGCCACAGTTGCACCACTGGGCCTTCCCAGAGCCTGAGCAGCATGCCTGGCGTCTGAGTTCAGGCCGTCCAGGCTGGCGGGTGTCTGTGTGAAGTGTGACAGCCACAGCCTGATAGGCCTCAGACCCCAGCTCGGCCCCTGTTTGGTGCTGTGAACCTTAGTCTCTTCTGTACCCTGGACTGTCATCCCTGGGCAAGTCCAAGCAAGGCTAGAAGGGTTGAACACCCAAGGCGTTGAAGGGGCTGTGTAGTAGGGCGCCAGTCTCTGGCCCAAGTCCCCAGGACAAGAGGTAGCATTGATGGGGTGTGTTCTTGGGTCCCCAGGTGTGGGCAGCTGGTGCAGGGGTGGCCCACAGCCCCCCGTCGACCCTCGTGTGGAAGAGCCAGACCAGCTGGGGCGCCGGGGAGAGCTTCCGCACCGTCCTGGTCAACGCCGACGGAGAGGTGGGTGCGGGATCGAGCTGCAGCGGGGGCCTGCGGAGCCACAGCAGCTGTGGGCCCGGCCCGGCCCGGCGGTGCCCCAACAGGAGCATCCGACATGGGCTGGGAGTCCGGCACTGAGGGTGTTGAGTGTCAGTGGCTCTTGTCTCACTCAGGAAGTGGCCGTGAGGGCTGTGAAGCAGTCTTCGGTGGCACGGGAGAATGAGAACGGGGAGGAGGAGGAGGAGGAGGAGGAGGAGGAGGCGGAGTTTGGCGAGGAGGACCTCTTCCACCAGCAGGTAGGGCCGGGCCTGCTTGCAGCCTGGGCAGCGTCAGGGCAGAGTGAGCCAGGGTCGCACACACGTGCACACACATGCACCCCACGTTCGCACATGCTGTGCTTGCTGGACCCCTGGCGAGATGCTCGCTGGGCCACGGGTGGGCTCTGGTGGGGACCTGGCCCTGCTTCCTGGGTCCTGCCATTGTGTGGATGCTGGGACATCACAGACCTTGGGGTTCTGGCCTGGGGTCCCCCGGGAGGCGGGTGTTGAAAAGCCAATAGTGCTGCCTAGTGGTGCAGGGTACAGCTCCCAGACACTCTGGGAACACGCTCCTTCTAAGACACCAGTCACCAAAGTGGCTTTGAGAGGGAGAGGGGAAGAGTCTAGAAACCACACTTGTATTAAACACAGATATCATAGCACTCCTCTGGCTTTTTGGAACGTAAAAAAGTGACACATGTAGCCCACAATCAGTGTAATGGGGAAATGGAAAGTTCTGGAAATACGGACTGCTGTGGCAGAAGCTGCCGAGCCGAGTTTCCTGGGGTGTGCGGCCCTCCCGGCTGGCCTGACCGCTGTCCTTCCGTCTCTCCTGCAGGGGGACCCGAGGACCACCTCGAGAGGCTGTTGCGTGATGTGAACTCAGCACTCCTCATTCACACATCTTTCTTTGCCCAGAGCCACTGAAAACTATTTTTATATCATTGGCTTTCTTTAGTTCTTGATACATTTCTAGAGAATTTTTAAGCAAACTGCCAGGACGTGGGTGTGGGCCTCTGCTGATCTTTCCCACGGTGGGTGCCCTCGGACCTCCCTGTCACCACCTGCCACTAGCCAGGAGACCTTTCTTAGTACTTTCCCCCATGTCACCATGTTTTAGGGCCCGGCGGGAGGTGGGAGGGAGGTGGGGCCACTTTGCTGCCTCTGCCTCAAGTGCAGGCAAGGCTGGGAGGGGACAGGAGATAAGGCCCCTTGGGCCTTGCAGGGCGTAGAAAGCAGAAATTGCAGAAGAATTCAGTGGTTGTGGGTTTTATTTTTTTAAAGCTTTTTAAAAACCAAATTCAGAGTCCAGGTTCTGACCTGGTGGGGCAGGGGCCCAGCCTGCATCGTGGCTGCCGCGTTTTGGACAGCGGGAACCCCCCACGCATCCAAGAGTCGGGTGCTGACGGCGTGGCCGGGCCTGGTCCCAGGGCAGGTGTATTCAGGGAGTTCGTAGCAGTTCCCGCTCTGACGACTTCGGCACAGGCCTCTGACCCTTGATTCTGTCTTCTGGGCCTTGCGTCTGGAGCTTTCTACAGTTCAGTTCCTAACCCTGCAGGACCAACGGGGCAGGAGAAAGGACACATGGGGACAGTCCTGCTCTGAGACTTGCCAGGATGGTGAATGGGCAGGGGGCAAGCTGAGGGGACACGGTGGCTGACCCCAGAGCAGAGGCCTTGAGCTCAGAGCTGCTGTCTGCGGTACCGCCAAGTCCTGACCCTTCCAGAGGAGAGTGATTTAGGGCAGGCCCGGCCCCCTGCCCCGCGCCCTGGCTCCGTGTGGCGCCGCGTGCAGTGTGGTCTCCTGTATACACATACGCATATATCGGTATCGTAGCTTCTATCTGTAACTTTCTCGCTGAAATTATGTTTCTCAGACAGACATGCCAACGCCAGCTGCCTCCCATCCCCACCGCTCAACCCCAGACCAGCTTCTGGCCACCCAGTGCCCCCCTTTGGCAATAGCTTCCCGTTTACACCCCCCACATAGATACACAGAAGTTATTTTTTTAATGGATATTTATTTTTTTACATTGGTCAGTACACAGATTGCCGGGACCCCGCTTCAGGGGCTCACACCAGGGCCTCGAGGGCAGGCTGGCCATCCCCCCAGGGGGAGGTGCTGGTGCGGGGACCCCCCCAATGGCAAACTTCCTTCAGAAAGTGCAGCTGAGTCTTAAAGACGCAACACTGAGCCACGTGCGCTGCCCAGCTCTGCTGGGCCTCGCAGTCGTTGCAGGGCAGGTGGCGCTGCTGTGTCACATGTCTGGCTTCCCTGGGGACTTGCTTTTGGTGAGGAGGGAATTGAGTGGGCCTGAGCCCACTGGCCAGGAAGGTGCCAGTGGCCGACAAATTGCTGCTGCTGGACCTACACCTACACCTGAGGCTCTGCCAGCTGCCCTTGCTTCCAGAAGTCCCCGGTTTTTTCTGTGGCAACTCTGCATTCCCTGGGCTGTGGGCTCTTTTCTGGTGTGGAGGGAAGTGTGTTGTACCAAAGCAGTTCCTTGTGGAAGGTCCAGACAGGCTTAACTACTGTGCTCTGGGTCAGGCAGGTTTGTGGGGAGCTCTGCCTGCCCTGGCAGGTGCGTCTCCCCCTACCCTACAGAGGGTGTGGTTGGCAGGGCTCTGTTGGGCCACTGAGAAGCAGGAACGCTGGTTCCAGGTGCTACCCCCCTCCCCACGCTCCCAACAGGAACTGCCTGGACCTGACCGGCTGTCCTTAGTGCAAGCAGGGGTTTGGGAGGGTGGGTCTTGGTGGTCCTGACATGTAGGGGTTTCTGCGCTGGCTTCAGTCACATCCTTCTACGTATTTGGGGGCTCTGGGGGAGCGACACCATATCCTGGAGTTGGGTCTATGATTTGCTGAAACAGATTTGCAGGCCAGACTTAGGGACGAAGGGAGCAGGCCCAGGTGTCCAGCGAGACTACTGGGCCCCTCCTTCAGCACAGCCCCAGCTCCAGGCCCAAGATACCCTCCCCCAACCCTGGGTGCACAGAGGTTGCTCTGGGCAGAGCCTGACCAACTCCAAGCTGGTCTGGGTTGTTACCCCACATCTGCCTTGAGTAGAGCTGGTGGGAGTTAATTGGGTGGCCAGTTGGTGATTGGAGCTTAAGGATGGTCATTGGTAATCAAGTATTTGAAAATAGCAGAATCCAATGTCACAAAGCTGGCCTGGGAAATGGAATTTGCACTTGTTCTCAAATAAGCTTATTAGCTGTGTGCCACTTAGAGCGATGCGGTGCAAACAGTCCCTCTGCTTGAGTCCATGTCCTGTGACTCCTAGCACAGTGCTCTTCCTGAGGAGACTTCAGAGTCCAGCTCACCCCTGGCCAGGGAGGCCCTCAGCTGCTGGAGCAACAGGCAGGGCTTCGGGGCACAGGCCTGGGTCAGCCTACTGGACCCAGGAGCCCTATTGTCGGAACCCAGCTTGATCCTGCACCTGTTTAAAGGCATCGATGACTTTGAATTGGGTTTGTTTTTAACCTGCCCCTGGACAGCAGTTGTATTTATATTGAAGATCTGAGTGGGACGGACGGTCCTCACGGCATTGCCACTTCAGCGTCGCCATCCACGCATCCAACGGAGCATCACAGCACAACTTGCAGGTGGACTTGGACTGTGACAACTACGGCTGGCAGAGACTTCCAGAGAATTCGTTGGTTTTTAAGAAGATGCATGCCAAATGTGTGGTCTTTATTTTCCCCCTTCCAATGATTTGTAATATACATTTTATGACTGGAAACTTTTTTGTACAACACTCCAATAAACATTTTGGTTTTAAGTTCTGCCTCTGTCCCTAGTGAAGCGGTTGTCTGGGACCCCAGCCGCTGGCAGTGCGGGGAATCCTCCATGAGTCAGTTCCAGCTGAGCTTCCCGAGCGGCCAGGCTCCGAGTCACGTGACACCCGTTCGACATACTTCAGCGGTCCCGGCGCCTAGTGCGCACGCGCAGAGGGCCGGGGGCGGGGCTGGTGCTGTTCCCGCTCCGCCCCCAGTAGAGACTGTAAACAAGTTCTCGTCGGCAGCGGCTGGGGCGCATGCGCGGGGGGCCCACGCTCGGCCTTATGGGAGTTACAGTTGGGTCTCCCTGACTCCGTTTCCCGTCGTGCCTCGGGCAGCCCAATTCCGGCGCGGCTACGGGTCGGCGCACACAGTCTTGTGGGGGTTGTAGTTCGCCGCTCCGGACTCCGTTTCCCATCATGCGCCGGTGGACCAGCTTCCGGTGCGGCTAGGGGTCGGCGCGCGCGGCCTCAGTCCTGTTGACTTTGTGGAGCCATGGAGGGCGGCTTCGGCTCGGATTTCGGGGGTTCGGGCAGCGGGAAGCTGGACCCGGGGCTCATCATGGAGCAGGTGAAGGTGCAGATCGCCGTGGCCAACGCGCAGGAGCTGCTGCAGGTGCGGGGCGGCCGGGGGCGGGAGCCGGGGGCGCCCCTGCGGGCGGGCGGCGCGGCTAAGGCCTCGCGTGTCTCCACAGAGGATGACGGACAAGTGTTTCCGGAAGTGCATCGGGAAGCCGGGGGGTTCCCTGGACAACTCGGAGCAGGTGAGCCCCGGGGCGGGGGTCGCGGGGTCGCGACCGGGCGGGGGGCGTTTGCGCGTGCGCGGGCTAACGGGCGTTGGGGAGGGGGCCTCTGCGCTTGCGCGGTCTGCAGCCTGGGCGCAGGTCCTGAGCTGAGCCGCGCGCCTCCTCCCCGCCCGCAGAAGTGCATCGCCATGTGCATGGACCGCTACATGGATGCCTGGAACACCGTGTCCCGTGCCTACAACTCGCGGCTGCAGCGGGAGCGGGCTAACATGTGAGCGGGACGTCCCCACCCCGACTGCGTGTCCAGAGACGTGCTTGGCGAGGCGGGGCCCGCACCGCACGTGGGTCCTGCCTGCCCTGGTTTAAGAGGGTGGCACCGCTGCTGGGACAGTTGGGACTGTGTCCTCCCACCCCCGCCCCGGCCCCGGCCGGCGAGGACAGCCGGGATCCCGGGACGCCGAGCCTTCCCAAAGCGGCACCTCCTTCAGGCCTGGGAGTCGCTGCTGTGCCCAGGTCAGCCTCACGCCGTGGGCAAGGAACCCTTGTTTGGACCTTGGAGTGGGGAGTGATCAGACCCTACCTGAGCTGTGACCTCCTTAGGACCAACTAATAAATTGTTGGGGCGAGGACAGAGAGCCCTGTGTGTTTTCCCTCCTGAGGGGAGTCTGGGAGGAGGCGCCGGTGTCCCCAGACCCCCAGTCCAGACTGGGCCTCAGCCTTCCCTGCATAGGGGCAGGGGTCTGTCTCTCCCTTTGGTGTTGCTGTGTGGGCCAGGGGGATAGTGTGCAACACAGAAGGGGGCCTTGGGGGTGAGGCTGATGTACACATGCCCCAGAGGCTAAGGGGACAGCCCTGTCCCTGAGTCAGGGGCTTGCTCTGCCCCACCTTCCATCTCTGGGCCCCCAGGAGGGACTGACAAGTGGTCCTTATGGGGCCATGGAGGTGCTGAGTCGGCAAGCTGGGGTGCAGGAGCCGTGTTTATTGGAGAAAGTATGCAGTCATACTGCACCCCGGTACCCACAGCCCCCACCCCACCCACCACCTGGACACCCACCCGAGGAGGGTTGGGTGGCGGGTGGGTCCTGCTGCTTTCACATCTGGTGTCTGGGCCTGGGCAGCCACGTGGCGGTCACTCCTGGATGTTCTGCCCTATCCAGCCTCTCACAGCCGACACTCTGGTGTAGACACCTGGGAAGTGGGGCCGACCACAGCCATAGCCCCAGCTGGTGACCCCAGTTAGCACCCACCGGCCAGAGGGCTCCCTGCATGCCAGGGGTCCCCCAGCGTCACCCTGATGGGAGAGAAGAAATGGCACTCAGAGAAGGCCAGTGCCTCCCCCACAGCAGCCCTTGGGCCAAGGGGGACAGGCCTGATGCTTGCACCCCAGGTCACTGGCCACTACAGGGGTGACCCCGAGTGAATGACTTCTCCTGTGGGCCACACTTTTATTATCTGGGAAATGGGTTTAGTGCTAGGATGATCCTTCATGCTGTTGTCGGGCCTTTGTGGAAATCCTCCACGGAGTCCCCGAGTGGAACAGGGCCACACCGCAGCCACTGCCAGCCTGCTGTCTGCAAGGCTCAGGGGTAGGGTACCCGGGCTGGGAAGTGGCTTGAGGGTGCCCAGTAGATGGTTGTGTGAGTGAAAATTCCTCCAGAGCCAAAAAGGTGCCTTACATGGCCCCGCCTGAGCAATGTGCACTGGAGGTGATGCCTGGCCTGCGGGTTTCAGGATCCCAGGTCTCCTCCCCAGGTGGGACAGTCCCTGGGGAGCTCACCGAGCAGCTGTCCACTCCGCCCTGCGGGAAGCCGGCGCACAGCATGCGGCTGCTGATCTGCACCGGGTAGAAGCGGCGGCATGTCTGCTCGCTGAGGAGGCGCACTGCGGCCTTCTGCAGTTGCCGCGCCATCGAGCCTGCGGGCGGGCGAGACGGGCGGGTCGGGGCGCGCGCTGGGGGACCCACCCGAGCATCCGCCCCGTGGCCCCTGGCGCGCCTACCTCCCTCGCGCACCGAGCCCCAGCCGGTGATGACGCAGCGCGCGCCGTCGGGGGCCCGGGGCGCGGGCTCAGGCAGGCAAATGGGTCGCACCAGGCGGCTGTGGCGCACCGGCCCCGCCAGCTCGAGCAGGGCCACGTCGTAGTCGAGCGTGTAGAGGTTGTAGAAGGGGTGCTTGTAGATGCGCTCCACGCGCTCCACGTGCCCCTCGGAGCCGCTCAGGAATGGCGTGCCCAGGAAGGCTGCCCACTGCTTGGGGTCTCCGTAGCTGCAGGGTGCAGGGACAGGCGTTGGCTGGATCTCCGGGCCCCGCCCTCTTGGGGCTTCCCTGGCACCTTGGGCAGGGTTCCTGGGCTGCTCATTTAGAAATGCGCTAAGGGCATCTGGGAGGGCCAGGGGAGGCAGAGCCAGAAATGCACCCCCAGACACTGAGGTGACACCAGGGGCTATATCCATGTTCACTAATATTAGTGCTCTCCAAGGGGGACTCTGGTGGCCATGAGGGCCCTGAGCCTGCCTGCCCACACCCTCTGACCCAGAGCCCCGAAAAGCATGGGGTGTGCACCCTGAGCTGGGTGTCCTCTCTGCAGGGTCCCTAGTCCTGTCAGGCTCTGGGGAGGGGTCTAGAGCCAAGTCCCAGCTGGGAGGGCTGGGAAGGAAGTGGCCCCATGTCCCCTGATGCTTTGGCCAGGAGCTGGGAGAGGCTCCAAGCCCCCGGGGAGGTGGGGGCCCCAGAGCTGGACCCTCCCCAGCCCCAGGCAGTGTGGGCAGGGCTATGGGTGGGCAGAGGAGGGCTGCCCAGAGGAGGGGACGGCTTGGGGCAGTGAGAGCTGGTGCTGGGGAGGACATATCCGAAAAGGAGGGGAGGCACATTGAGTTTTCAGGCCACAGTTGGGTCCCAGGTGAACTAGAGATGGGCCATTGGTGACTGGGGGGACTCACACGTCAAAGCAGTGCGCCGCCGACAGCAGCCACCTCTCCGCCACCAGCACGGCCCCACAGCGGTGCTCCCGGCGCCGCAGCCACAGGCTCACCTGCCACGGCCACTCTCCCAGGCCTGCGGCACTGCCGCCCACGATCCTGGTCATTGCTGCCGCTGGCGCTAGGCCACAGTCTGCGGGGAGCCAGGTGAGTGGGCAGGCGGACCTAGGCCACCTCCTCTGCGCAGCCCACCAGGCGCCACCCCTCTGAACATCCCCGCATGTGAACCTGGAGCCTGAGTAGCGGGACCTGCCCCTGGAAAACTGCATAAAAGGACACTGGCCTGGCGCATGGCTACAAATGAGCCTCTGGGATTTTCAAATCCGTTTGTTCGTTTCTTATGACCTCAGCTTTGGGGCTGTCCCTCCTCCCTTGCTGGGGGCAGGCCAGGGTCCCCTCCCACACCATCACCTCTGGTATCTGTCCTCTGGGAGCCGGGTTCCCTCCACTGCCGGGCCCTGGCACACAAGTGCCCGCTCTAGCTGGTCTCTGGAGACCCTCCCAGCGCCTCCCTGGCCCTCTTTGCCTGGATCCTTGTTTTGTTTATTTATTTTATATTTTTTCTGAGACAGAGTCTCGCTCTGTTGCCCAGGCTAGAGTGCCGTGGCCTCAGATTAGCTCACAGCAACCTCAAACTCCTGGGCTCAAGCAATCCTCCTGTCTCAGCCTCCCGAGTAGCTGGGACTACAGGAATGCGCCACCACGCCTGGCTAATTTTTTCTATAAATTTCTAGTTGGCCAATTAATTTCCTTCTATTTTTAGTAGAGACGGGATCTCGCTCTTGCTCAGGCTGGTCTCAAACTTCTGAGCTCAAGTGATCCTCCCGCCTTGGTCTCCCAGAGTGCTAGGATTACAGGTGTGAGCCACCCTGCCTGGCCTTGGATCCTGTTTTAGAGACAGGGTCTGGCTCTGTCATCCAGGCTCTGTTACCCAGGAGTGCAGTAGCACTAACAGCTCAATGCAGCCTCAACCTCCTGGATTCAAGTGATCCTCCTGCCTCAGCCTCCCAAAGTGCTGGGATCACAGGTGTGAGACACCACCCCACCTTGCATGGATCCTTCCCTGATGTCTCCTCTAGGCTATCACACCTTCCCACCTCCCCCTAGGATGGTGCCAGGCACAAGGCATGTCCTCAGAATACAACTATAGAAGGATGATCGGTTTCCCGAGGTGCCTAATGGCCCACTTTTACTACCCACGGAGGGGGCTCTGGTTCCGCCTAATAATTTCTGTGGGCGATTTCCTCCTTGGGAGAGACGCCCCCCAAGCTGGCTTCCCTGCCTCAGCTACAAAGGCTGGTGAGGAAAAGAAGGGGGCTCAGTGTCCCCACCCAGAAAGAGAGGAGGGGGCAGGTTCCTGCCAGCCCCGGTGAACCTCGCACCCCTGGGCAGACACCAGCCTCCTGGCACCATCTGGTCCTTGCATAGGACCAGGTGGCCTTGGAGAATCCCCCGAGAGCTGCAGCCCCTGTCCTTGGAAACACTCGCCACCTCCACAGGCAACCTGCCTCCGTCTCCGGGGCTTCTCCACCTCTTTGCGGCCCAAGTAGGCGCTCCCAGGCTGAGCTGCTGCAGAGTAAACATCAGCTCCGTCTGGGAAGGTGAGAGCAGAGCCTCCAGGTGGGGGGCCGGACCCCGGGGAGGCCAGCTGCAAGGTTAACGAGAAACCCCTTCTCTCGACCACACATGCAGCTGCAAAGCGTCAAAGCCACCTTCTCTGAGCCTCTGCTTTCAGCTGGCCAGGGAGCCGGAGCGTTAGAAGCTGCAGTTAGACAGTGTGAGAGTGTTGAGGCGGGAAGAGAATGTGCCTTGGCCCCCGCCCCGCCCCGCCCCGCCGGCCGCAGCACTTCCCATGGGGCTTTCTGCACATGACGCACCACACTTCCTGTGCTCCTGGTTTCCAAGGAGACGGGACCAGGCCCCATGTTGACCCCTTTGCACAGGGGCCTGTTCTGTCTCCAAACCCCACAATCACCCCACTCCCTTTGTTCGGTAAACCCCCCGGTTCCTCTGGGGCACAGACTCCCTGCTCACAAAGGGCCAATCACCCCGACATCGTCAGCTACGGGCCTGTGCCTGTGCCCAATGGGGCTTTTACCTTTGACCTCCAAATACAGCCGTTCCATATGGTTCTGATTAATGTTTAATAAAAATCAACTCAGCGTTGTAGCCGAGAGTGGAAAGATCGCAAAGCCACCTTCGCTGTCGGTATCTCCCTCTGGGCCAGTTACTGCCAAGTCCCACTGGGCTCTAGCCAGCACCCAGGGGTGGCTGGAGCCTGCAGGCGTCCCTTCCCAGCCACCCCAAGGCACTGCTCCTCCCCACACCCGACTGTGACCTCGGGCGTGTCTGTTTCCCCAGCCTGCTGCGGCTGGGCAGGCCTTAGGGATGGGCGGGGTGAGTGGAGACCCTCCTCCCACCCCAGAGCCCCCAAACAGGAGACAGGGTCAAGGACGGGGCGCTTGCACCAGACAAGGTGCGTCTGCCCAGTGTGCTTGTGTGCGTGACTCGAGGGGCCCATTAGGGGCTGAACTGTGTCCCCCCAAATTCATATGTCAAAGTCCTAACCAGCCTCCAGCGCCTCAGAATGTGACTGTATTTGGAGACAGAGTCTTTAAAGAGGGGATTAAGGTAAAATGAGGTCCTTTGAGT